TGCAACAATCCTCAGTGCTGAGATAAAAATTATAGGAAGGTCTATCCATCTGTTTCATTCACAGAACGGTATAAACCCCTCGATCCTTACTCAGGAAAAAAAACCACACAGTTTCAGCACAGGTAGCCAAGGATGAGGTAGTAACATTATGCCTTGGCTTTCCACTCTGGCTAAACTGGCATATTAAGAAACCTAAGGTGGTGGGATACAGCTCAACGCACAGCTTGCTTAGAATGGTTCAACAGAGAATTGCTTCAAGACTGAACCTGGGAGAGAGGGGGGAAGAAAAAAAAATCCTTGTCCTTGAATGCAAAGAACTGATGTTCTCAGCCCATGATGAACTCAAGATTTAGGAACTGGGCAAAACCTACACATAGTTTAGCAAAATGTTGATAATCCTGGACTACCCGTATGCTTGATTATATGTGAAACAAATTTAGTGGAATAATGCAACACCCTGAGGTGGACGTGCTTTCAACTTCCCTACAAGTCTGCAGGTACTGACTTCAGCTGGGTTCTAGTGAGCTTACAGACACCCCTGACGAAATGAAGCTCAGAAAATACACCTTTCCTTATGTCTGCTATCCAGGTAAAGCACCACTTGCTGGGATATAGGACTTTATGAACTACACCTGAATATTAAAGCAGAAGGACAAGGTGGGAAACTGTCAAGCTTTACAAACTCTCTTTGGGCATCTCTCATTGATTGGAAGAGAGAAGGCAGTATGCCATTCAGTCTCGGGGGGGAAAACGATGCAAACAGAAATCATAGAATCACAGAATGGTTTGGGTTGGAAGAGACCTTAAAAATCATCTGGTTCCAACACCCTGCCATGGGCAGGGACACCCTCCACTAGATCAGGTTGCTCAAAGCCTCATATTCAGGTTGTCTGATGTTCCTCCTCAATATAGGTGTGGGCTGGCTAACATCTGTCCCTTTCAGTGCTGACGTGTTTTGGCTTTTCTATGATAAAGATGGGGGAACCTGGATGTACTGTGTGTATTTGTACTCATGAACGGACCCTTGGCATCCCATTTTCACCGGCCAACCATGCATTTTACAATCTCTCTCCTTTGGGACCCTGCCCAGGTGGGAGGTTAAGCCAGCAAATTCTTCTCTCTGCCCCTATAACAAGGAACAGGAAGGATATGGTTTCTGTCCCTGGGGGTCCAGGTGAACTCAGTATCTTTTCCACATGATCCCTTCCTTGTAATAAGAAAGAGCAACTGTTTCCCTATTATCATGCCAGTATAGCAAGACAAATCAAGCAATAAGCTGTCTTCTTTCTACCCTGCATAGCCCTTTCCCTCTGGACAGTATTAGTAGCTGAGTCTTCTAGCAGTCTGACAATCTTCCCACCCTTTGGACACCAGCAAGGATATCCGGCAGGAGCTTTTTCTCGCCCTCTTCATGAGTAAGTCACAGCATCTCACTCACAACTGGGAGGCAGCTATAAAGAGCACTATGTCACCACGTACCTAACTCCTCACATTTCTGAATCTCTGAATGAGATGTCAGAGTCTGCACTGCTTGTTGATAATTAACATCCCTGGTCTGCAGAGGTGGGCATGGGGTGGTGGTGCTTACGTTTCACTCTGTAGGCTGAAAGGCAGCAAGCGAGATCTATGGGAGAAACAGCTTTCTGCCTGCCACGTTGCATCTCCTCCAACAGCAGGAGCATTTGGTATGGGACACTCCTCCTCTTCTGCGCAGCACATGGTGGCACTGTGATCCTACAAAGAGAAGCAGCAACACGAGTGGTATTCAAGAGGTACAATGGAGAAATACTGGACACGACACCTGAAGGAGCGAAGTGGGACAGCACACACAGCAACTCAAAAGGAACCAAAATGGGCACGTTTTTAGCAAAAGAAGGAAAAAGTGGGAGCAGACACTTGCACTAGCTCATCCCACAGCGCAGGCTGACAGTTCTAAAGTAAAAGGTCACAACTTTAAGTTGGCCTGTTCCTGAATAAGGGGCAAACCAAGGAGGACCTGAGGTGCTTTCTGGGCTCTAGAAACATTACCTACAGACAGTTTCAGAGCTGTTCTTGCCTCCCACCTGTTCATGACTTCCTTCTCAACATACCCTCAAAATGTCACGGGTATGTATATCATAATGCTTGTATTTCAACTGTACGTCAAATGGAAAGCTCTTTATCCTCCCTAAATGTACTGCAGTCCACAATGTCTTCCTTCAAATAACAATGGCAACCTACTGCCTACATTATTTAGCTTTGCCCATTTATGACACTTCCCATCTCTGCACGCCTGTAACTTGTCTTCTTCCCTCTCTGCACACTGGTTAGTGTGTGAGAAATCTGCAGAAAGAAGGACTGAATAGGAATGATCTACTTGGATGATTAAAGCTGCAGTGAACTGAGCAAACTGAAAACAAACCAAACCAGTTATCAGTGTGGTTGGTAGGGAGGCAGAAGCCCAAATCGTTGTCACAAACAAGTAGACAGCACAGTTCTGCAAAACAAAGTAACACTACATATTCTCTATCTGCAACAACACCTACTCTTCTGTGTAAGTATATATATAAAGTATATAAGTCTATATATATGGCATTAAACTGAAAGAGGGCAGATTTAGATTAGATCTAAGGAAGAAATTTTTCACTCTGAGGGTGGTGAGGCACTGGAACAGGTTGCCCAGAGAAGCTGTAGATGCCACATCGCTGGAAGTGTTCAAGGCCAGGTTGGATGAGGCTTTGGGCAACCTGGTGTAGTGGAGGGTGTCCCTGCCCACGGCAGGGGGGTTGGAACTGGATGATCTTTGAGGTCCCTTCCAACTCAAACCATTCTGTGATTCTATGATTCTATGATAAGGTGTTAGCCAGGACAACTGAGGGCCAGAGGCTATGGATCACCAATATGTTTACATTTACATGCTTAAAGTTACAAAATTAATAGTGGATATGGTTACACATGACATATCCTTTAGTTACAATGGGCTATGAGCATACCTGGAATAAAATCATATCCCGTTACGGAACAGAGAGACACAAATCCTAAAGACTCAGTGTTCCGGACTGTAGATTACCTGTATGCATCCAGCATACGAATCAAAGATGACTAGCAAGTCAGAAAACTTCAATTTCTACCTTCGCAGGCCCTAGTCTGTGTATGACAGACACAACAAGGCAGAGACCTTGCTCAGTGAGCTGAAAGCACCTTGCTAGCACCTTGGTGATCCAAGCTTTCAAATGTACATCCCATATAAGAAAAGGAGTGGAGACATCAGAGCAACAGGTAGTTTGAACAGGGGGTACCTTCGAAGTATCCGAGTGAAGTGTATATTCATGAGGAACACTTGGAGCAGGGAGTTCAGACAGCAGTTCAGTCCAACGTTGTACAGTCCAATAGCTCCTGTAGGCACAGAAAAAGAGGAAGTAACGCCTGGAGATAGGTACAAGAAAAGAAAGTGAAAATTATCTGGAAGTGGCAAACTCCTCTTGCACATTTTCAGCTATTCAGTGCATAGGCCCAGCATCTTGGTCAGAACTGAGAAAGTGTTCAGTCTATTCCTATGTTCCTAAAGCTGCTAACCTTTATTTTTGTTTGGCAACTGACAGGAAAAATCCAAGTGAGCCTGGATTATGACACTCAGATGTCTCCCAGTTCCTCCAGTTTCAGTCCTCTCATAACACACCTAAACATAAAATAAAAACCCCACAGGTCAAAGGCTGCCTGTACGAGCATTTTTATTCAGCCTTTTACACATCCAGGCCTAATAACAAAACGAAGAGCTACATGTGGGACCACATGCCGGCTGCCTGCCACACGGGCATTCAGTTTCCCCTTCAGCCTACCTCTGGTATTCTTTGTCTCAGTTTCAAAGAAAGGAACTAGCCTGAAAGAAGTGGGAAAAGCAAGTCACAGCTGTTCACACTGCATCTAACAAGACGGCATATTCTGTGGCCCAAAGTGGTATAAATAATTGTGGTCAGAAATTAGGAGCTTTTCTGCTGAAGTCATCACCAAACAGAGAGAGGACACGGAATGGAAACCCAGAACAACTCTGAAATGCATACAGTTGATGGCAAGGATGCGCCAGAGCTGGGATAGAACAGTATGCACTCCTGCAATATTGGTGACAGCTTTTGAGGGGCCGATCTATCGATGCAGCAGAATAAGTAGGGCCTAGTCCATGGTTTAGCAAATCCAGAAGCAATACTGGCTGTGTTTGGAAAGAGACAGGGTAGCACCTAGACCTTTTTGGCTGCAATGGCCGATTTGAGGACTTAAAAGGAGAAAAAGCTCTGAGGTCCTCATGTAATCCCTCCCCAAAAAACCCAAAATGTTTACTTGGCAGGGCAAAATGAGAATCGTCTGTATATTCCTCAGCAAAGAGGTAAAGAATAGGAGAAAATGAACCCCAAGGACTGAGAATGGAACAGCAGGCATTAGAAACAGAAAATATGACAGTGAAGAACAAACAAAACATGATTACCATTTTTCAAGTCTGCCACACCAAAGATTGATGTTAGCCTCTGGTCTTTGGCCTTCAGTTCTTCGGCTTCCTCTTTATTATTTTGTGCATCTGCTTCTGCCTTCATGGTCTCGCTTGGTGCCAGCTCTCGTTTCTTGCTTCTTTCTTGATGTCCACTTCTTTGTCCCATCAACAATATTGTACAAGACAGAAGGACTGCAGAAAGACACCGAAAGATCAGAAAGAGGGCGAGCACCCAGAAACACAGGATTTGTCTTTGTATTTGGTATTTTCATGATGAAAAAGCTGGAACGTCAACAAAATTAGTAAGATTGCTAGAACAGCATTTGGAATTTTGGAATCAACATGGGTATTGTAAGTGTGTGGGCTATTAGCGAGGTAACAGACGTAGAGCAAGATTTGGTAAATAAGATGATCAAAATTGTCCAAATGGCAGATGTTGCAAAACTCTTCTGCTTAGTAAAAGTAATGCTTTATCACCCAAAGTATCCCAAGTACTCAAAAGGGAAAATTTCACCTTCTCTAGTCTTCTGAGCTAATAAACATTTGTTTGTTTTCTGTACTGGCCTCTCTGCATTGTTTTTAAGTGTGTTAGTCACAGCTCTACTGTGGCACTTTGGACTGTAATTGTTAAAGACATTTAAGCACCTAAGTATCAGTTTCTTTTTATGCTCCTTCAAGTGATCACAGCAGGTAAAGCAACTGTGTAAGCAAGAGAACCATTATAATGCCTTGATTTCCAAGGGAGTATTGAACAGACCATTACTCTGACAGTCTCTTAGGACTCAGCTACCAGCTCTTTAAACAAAAGTTTAAAAAAAATCACCAAACTAAAAGAAAGCAAAAATACCCAAGCAAAACAATGTGGCAAATGTTCCAACGCGATTACACAAAAACGAAACTTTAAAAGCCCACAATCAGCCCAGAGGCAGAATCAGATAAAAAGGATATGCTTAGGGAAGAATTCACAGGGGCAAAAATCCACAAAACAAATGCTCAGAAATTGTGATTTTATAAATAAAACAGCACATAAAATGAACCTGAGGCCAGGTGCTGAAAGAATGAAGAAAAGCTAAGAAGAAAGGGAAATAAGCAAAAACTCCTGGTTCTGCCTTTCACAAAAAGAAAATCTTTACTTTAAAACCATGTTATTTTTCAGGTTAAGTGTGCCTAATAATGTTAAATATCAAAGTTTCCGAAGAATTTATCAGGCAGGGAAACTAGAAATGGATTTTTTTTCCTTCCAATTATTACATTTAAGTTTACTTTTACCCAATCGTACTTTTGATTCTTTACTTTTGAAGATTACTTTTGAACTCAAAGCGTCATACACTCAGATTCACCAAACATTGTCAAATTTGCGGAGAAGTTGCACTTGGGAAAAAAAAATAAACTCAGATATTCAAAGATAGATTCAAGAATATTGCTTTTATAGCCAAACCCAGTGATTTGAACAACTTCGTGGGAAAAGAGAAATTGGATGAGATTTCTTCCTCGGCAAAACAGACTCTGAACTCGCACCACCTCTGTCCCTGGAAATGATTTCACAAGGGATTCAGGTTTCGGAAAGCCCAGCTGGAGCGGGAGCCCAGTGGGTTTAGTGGATGGAGCATCAGCCAGAAGGTAAGATACGCTCGCATCCAGTGGGATGCTGGAAGAGATGGAAAGGAGGGAGCAGGCAGGGCAGAGGTACTTAACAACAGCCAGGTATGTGCCAGGGATGAGGCGAACTTGGCAGACAGCTTTTGGCAGGAGAGGCAGGATTAAGGGTGGGATGAAAGAGCAAGTTCAGGGCTAAAAGGCTCTGGGTAATTTGAGAGATAGGTAGAAAGATATTAGGGCAGGAATGTGCAGGGGGATGCAGAAATGGGAGGATTTGGGTCGCTGGTTCGATGAAACTCTCCTCCAGGAGCACCAGCAGGAAGCGCAGCGCGGGAGCAGGGACACGGACCCAACTTCCCACGCCTTGCGCGGAACTGTCTCATTTCGGCTACCGGGAATACAGCATTCCTCAGATTTGCGCTCGACCGCCCTTTCCCTGCATAAACGGATAAAAAAAACCCAGGCGAGCGAGCGCAGGAATTGAGGAGCAGCCTTCCCTCTTC